AATCTTTGTGTATTAATTATTAATAATTAGTTCTCATTTAAATAAATAAATAAAAATACTTGCTATAGTGTGGGCGTTGAAAACACTTCGTCATTATTTATATGGAATACAGGATATCAAAATTTTTACTGACCATCAACCACTAATATTTGCTAACAACAAAATGAAAAGGTGGCGTGCATTTATTGAGGAATTTAAGTTTTATTACAAGCCCGGAAGAGAAAATGGATGCTTCTCACAACTTAAATTAGATCACCTCATCCGAAACTATGCATAGTGAGATATCATCAAGTAACGTAATAAAGACAGTTAGAAACTCCGTAAATCAATTTAGAAATCAGCTATTGTTATCTAACTCAGGCTCATGCAGTAGAAATATAAAAATTATTTTCCAAAAAATTATTAGACATACTATCACATACAATTCAGTTGAAAGTCTCATTAAGTGTTTAAAATTTGCTATTAACCCTGACGTTACCAATGGAATACACTGTACTCYTCCCATATTGGGTGAAATTCAAAACTCTATAGTATCGGCATTTCCTGGCGTTAAGTTTATTCATACTGAGCTCTTCGTCATTGACTTAATCAATAAGAATGACCAACTGGAAACCATTAGAACCGAGCACAATCGGGCCCATCGAGGGTTACATGAAAACTTGCAGCAAATTTCGCGAGAGCACTATTTTCCAAATATGAAAAAATTACTTAAAACAATAATTACAAACTGCAAAATATGTTTAGAAAATAAGTACCAACGTAAACCACCAGATGCATTGATAGGTCAAAGCCCACCTAATAAACCAGGAGAAATCCTTCACATTGATGTATTTATAACTTCCAAACATTTATTCCTGACCTGTGTAGACAAATTAACTAMATTTGCTATCGTGAAACCTATTGCGTCCARAACCATGATCGATATCAGATATGCACTTTTACAAATCTTGCTGGTATTCCAAAATTCTAAAACTATCGTTTCCGACAATGAAAAATCACTGAAATCAAACTCTATTACAKCACTGCTTAGAGACAATATTTCCATTATTCAGTTTTTTATACCAACTCTCCACAGTACAAATAATGGTCAGGTGGAAAGGTTTCATTCCACACTACTTGAAATTATCCTATGTATTAAGCAGCAGCAGCAAATTGATGACATTATCGAATTAGTATTATTAGCAACGCATAAGTACAATTGCAGTATTCATTCCGTGATTAATGCTAAGCCAATTGATGCGTTTCACGGGAACTCAGAAGAAGGTTTAGTAAGTCTTAGGAAGTCTTTGGTTGCAGCTCAGGAAGATACTTTAAAAAGGCGTAACCAAAATAAAAATATGAAAAMATATCATCCCGGTGAAATTGTCTTCTTGAGGCGCAACAAAAGACTTGGCAACAAATTGGATAAAGTGTTTTTACAGAAAATTATCGAGAAAGATATTGGTACAACAGTTTTAATAGATGGCAAAAGAATACATAAGATCAATCTTAGATAAAACATATTATTTAGTAAAAMGAAGACAAGAGAAACACCTTGACAAACCGAACTTAAAAAAGTAAACAAAACCAACCACTTTTTTCATGTTTTGAAASATCATATTTTTTTTCTCTTTTGCTTTAAAAATTGTTAATTTAATAACTTTACGTTCTAAGAAGAAGAGTGACTATTTAAATTTAAATACCCACTGTATAACTTTATAAGACATATTGTAATTACTTTAAGATAAGTAATTGCTTCCGCAAATTGAATGTTAGTGACTGTGTAAAGATTCGCCAATCAACAGGCACATACCAACATCGAAAACAGCCTGGTTCAGAAAGAATTTACTTCGATCCGAGGACGTTCGATTTTAACAACGGGGGTAGTTAAGGTATCATCTTTGGATGATTGATTTTGCTACTCATTTTCGTATGCTGGGTTATGTTKGAAATCGCTTTTGACTGATCTATTTTGTTCTTCATTTTCTTATTCCTGGAATAACGTAAGAAYTTTGATGCTTYGCTKTCAAACGCARCAACCCTKCATCAACCACAAAGTAAATAGKGATGATGACGTTCACMTTCCTGGARTTCCAGCACATTAAATGCATAACGGTACTAATAATGKGGAAAAATACTGACGCTAGTTGACAGCGTCAGAAGGTTATGAGAAAATGAAAAATCATTGGATCGATCATTATAAAAGTGGCCATCAGCAAGAGGAGTTGAATTATCATAAACTTAAAAGTTATATTCATCTATATTCAGTTGTATTCATCTACATACATATATTCAGTTGTATTCATCCATCTTTATAAACATTAATTAAACAATAAAATCTGAGTGAAACCACAAAAATATAATTTATTGTATTAGTTGAAAGTTGCACATATTAGTTTTAAGTTTTAGTTTCTAGTTTTACTTTTTTATACAAATGTGAATTTGCAGAATTATAATTATTATATTGAAGTAAACTTAATCTTGTATTTTATTTGCTTTTTATAACAAGTTGACTTTTTCTGCCGAATGTAATAATAATAGGCAAGTTATCAGCTTAAGTAAATATGGTTTTATAATTAAATTAAGCAAAATAATATGAAAAATACTGAATTTTACTCAAAATAATTGAATTTCTAAAAGTAACAAATGGGTAACAAATCGAGCTAATAGATATGATTGTTACTGCTTTAACCATTCTGCTAACATGGTTATATATTACAGGTAACAAACTGCTAACCAAAATAATAACACTAACAGATATTTGGTTAGTAAATACTTTTTGTTAYGCATAAGTAAGCTATGCGCTAGCAAACATACTTGTAACAGACTGTAAAGAGATTCGATAACAAATGTATGTATTTTGTTAGAACAAGGCAGCAGATATTTGTCATTGGTTAGAGTGAGAAAACCATTGAGCATCAGATGGCTGTGTTACTTTTTTCCCACTCGCTGAACAAAAGTAACAGATATTTTAACGTATGCAAAGTTAACAATAACAAGACGCTTACATGTTTGCTAACAGCTACTTATTTTGCAGGGGTTTCTTCTAGAGGTGTTTACCAGCAACACTGCAGTAACTGTTTTACTTTCTGGTTTTTGTAACCGCTAGATGGCGCGCACCGCTGCACAACAGTAGCGAGCAGAAGTGCTGTCTCTTGAAGTTGCATAAACAYCCTACTGTTTCATAGCGGTGAAAACTGTCTTTGTTCTTTGATTGGTTGATTAATACTGTAAATCATATTATAAAATATAATCTGCCTATGACTTTAACTCACACGTTGGTACCATCTCCCTCAACATTTAAAARAAAATGCTCTTGCCGTGAACAGCTCATTATTGGTTCCTCTAAAACCAAAAATATTTCGTTAGTTGCATCATAACTTTTCGAGAAATCGTATCCACCGACTTAAAAATTTTAGTTTTGAGATAAATACGTTAAGTGCGCTGACGTGGCCCGATGGGCGGACCACCGAAGATCTATTTGAAATTTTAGGGTACTTCTTTCTTTACTCAGTCCATATTTAAAGTTATGAAATATTAATAATTCATATTTGTTTCATAATAAAATATTTGCTCTATTATAAAACAGTTATTTTATTTCTACGAAATCTTAAAGCGAAATGAAAATAAAACCAATAGCTACAGGGTAAATCGACTAAGGTCGTCACGTTGATCACTTATATATGTATGTAACCGGTTTTTCAATTGAGCGCTACAAA